AAAATAAAATAAAATAAATAAATAATATATATATATATATATATATATATATATATGAATGCATTATATCACAATTAATAGTAACGCCAAACTAAAAATGTTTAATATTAAAGGCCAAATTTTCAGTCTTTTAATTTATTTTAATCTATTTTATCCGATATAATAGATGCGCAGAGATTCGGTGACTCCTAACCTTTGTCAATGACCGGTGACAATTTTGGCTTTTTTATTTGTAGCAGTGACCATAGCAAGATTCCAAAGTATTAAATTCCGTAAATTTGAAAATAAATTTTGATGGAAATTTTTGACGTATCAATTTATCAAACACTGGTAAGGACAACCCCTTCCCTCCCCCGTTCCCCGGATTGTATCTTACGGACCGCACCATCGCTTTCGCGGAACATATTTTAAGTTCTCGTAGATCATCGGTTAAAAATTGTTTGCATAAATGTACAACAGATTTATGCAGCATTCTAAATTAGATTTTCTTTATTTTCTTGACAAAAAACGAAAAAAAATCCAAAAATAAGAAAACAAAAGGTTGCTTTACCTGTTCTGAATAAGTTCAAAGTTCAAGAAACATCTGGAAGAATTTTCAGTATTGTGAAAATGATAGAACAATTAGGCTACGACATTTAAACTAAATATTTCAAAAATTGCAATCAAAATCTATCCAAAAAATTTATCAAAATTTATTTTTCGTGGCGTTTTAAGTTTTATTATTCAAGTTCGTTAGTATTTCAGTATTTTTCATTTCCAATTAATGTCACAGCTAATATTTAGACCATTGCAATTAACGTAACATTATTTTTAGATTTAACATCTTTTTATATTTTGATTTATTTAGATTTAGATTTAGTATTTCATTAAGATTTGACATTTTAGATTATTTAGATTTAGTATTTTCTTTTGAAGTGTCATATTTGAATAATATGAATGGAAAAATATGAAATATAATGAAAAGTCTGATTATAAATGTGCAAATTTTCGACTAACTTTACTAATTTTATTCAATAAATTAAGGGAAGGAAACTATTCTTTTCAAAAAAAAAAAAGAGTTAGATTAATTAAATTAAAAAAAAAATTAAGAGAAAAAATTTTTTGAATATGTAAAAATAAATGAGAGAAAAAGCAAAAAAAAAGTAATGAATAATAATATAAAATATAAAATCACTTACCAATTCGCCACAAATTTTTTTTATATTGATGAAGAGTAATAATAATAATACAAGCAAATAATTACTACTAATAGTATTAATAGTGGTAATAGTAGCAGTTGAAGTAATCATAATTTGAAGAAAATAGGAAGAAAGAAATCTTTTAAGAAAAAAAAACAAAAATAATCAATTCAATAATATTGCAAGAAATTGAAATGGAATAATTTAATTTAGCAGTAATTAATAGCTTCAAAAATCAATCGATTGAATGGATAAATTCCATTATGTGATTTAAAATTTGCGCAGAAATTTGAAACTTAGATTGAAGATGAATTGAATTAAATTGATGTTGAATTAAAAAATTTTAGACATGAAATAAATTTTGGAATGAATGGAAGAATTTGTTTAAAAGATTTGAATGTTGTCCCATTCCATTCCATCCCTTTTTGACGTCACAATTTAAAGTGGACAAGTTGAGAGAAAATTCACAAAACTGGATTTTTTTTTCCTTTTACCATTCTATAACATTGAATCATTCGAAATTTTCTAATTTTATTGAGATAACAAAAAAAAAAAAAAAAAAAAATTAAAAGAAAAGAAAAGG